ATAACCCTACTCTGTCTGCAAGGTCATCTGCTAGATTAGACTGGCTAACATGATAGGATCACTCAGTGGATTAGGCTACCTGGCATGCTAGCATAAACAATGCAAGATCAAGCTGTTTTGCACAATAAATACATGCTACATGTAGCAACAGAGGATGCTAGATTTAGTAAAATACTGCATAAATTAGCACATAGCTAAAAACTGTGGCACCTGAAAGTCAGTTGAGTCACTGATGTTAAATTACAATAACAACCAGGTTAACACTGGTAGGGTGCTGCAGAAGGAAATCAGTGTAGCTACAGCATAACAGATGATATTTTTCATTATATTAATCAAGCATACTGGGCTTTTATTTTGAAATTCTCAGACGAATGCCAGTGGTCCGCTGTGCTGCGTGCTATCATGCTACCAAATTGCTGCTGAATCATAAAATAGGACCTGGAAAAGCTCCTGTTGTGTTTCTGGCGGATCAAATACATGACAGGCACTTTTGTTCAAACTTCAGTGTTTTCTGCAGTGTTTTTATTGTGGAGGTGGGCCGCCTTGCCTGAAATTAGGACAGCTAAAATCATAATACCTTTTTATATGCTAAAGCATTTTGTTTCGGGGAAAAAAGCTGAGCTGCTATTTCACACATCACGCCACCTATTTAATTAGTGGGATTATTGTTCAGACGATTGTCTGGTAAGTACACTGATCAAGCTGGAGGTCATTCACTCGTTATTGCTGTTTGGTATGTCTAACAGTGAAACAGTGGACAGTTTACCCAAAGAAATCAAATAAAGTAAAGGTCAAGACACTAATACAGTGAGCTGAGGCTTTCAGCCACATAACCTGAATGAATAGAAGGACATTTCCTCTTGGATTGTACTAATCTGCTTTAGTAAAGCCAAGGCGGCCTCCAAAGAAGGATAACAATGTTGCAGCGATGCCAGTCCGAGACTGCTTTGGGTTCAACATTGGTGGCATACTGTAGCTATTGTTGTGTTCACAGCTAGTTAGTCAAACAAATAAAAAGATTAAGAATAATTTGGGCCACCTTCGGACTGCTCTGTCCTGATTCCCAACCAGACTCACTCTATGTAGTTAAAAACAAACAAGAAAGTGAGTGTTATCTTAGAGATCTGCCCTCTCTTGCAGAGGGTAAACAAATACAGCAAAGCTTTTGCCAAATAAATCATCCGTGTCTTATCAAATTCCCTAAAAGAGAATCTTTTACTTTTAATGACCTTCACAAAAAAAACACCTCATCTTGTAGTTTTTGTCTATTATTCATCCCTGAAGGTCTTTTTTTTCTTCAAGTGAAAGAAATTGCCCGTTACATAAAACGCTTTCAACCAGAATCAAGGTTAAGTAATTAGAGGTTTTATTAATTTTGGTATTTGATTCGCATAAAGGCCAATTGTTTCTCATAACATCCCTAATCTGAGGCTACTGAATGTCCTAACTGTAACCTTCTTCCCTCTATTCCTGTTAGTATGGAGCTGCTACAACCAAGCATGAATATATTAGATGGAGATATTTGTGTTGACAGTTCGATGAGTATCACAATGCTTTAACAGCTTTCTCTGTATCACTTTGAGCTCATGTCAAAGAAAACTTGTTGTTATGTAATACATCGAGCTCCTCACCAAAAAAACCCTGATCACCTCCTCTCCTCCTCCTTGCTCCACAAGCTCACCTCTTCTCCTTCTCTTTTTCTCTCCTTCCTTTCACCCATTATCATCTCTCCTAATCCAGTCTTCATCATTGACTCAATTTCTCTCTCACTCTCTTTCAGCTGCATTAAGTCATTAGGTGATGCTGTTACTAAGACCATTGGCAGAATATGTCTGAAGGAGAGGCAGCTCCAACAGTCTTTATATATGTCCTTGCATTCAAGGAAAACAAAAGCCTATGTCCTAGTATGAGTGACTGCTGCCAGGAGCTCAGAGACAGAACAGAAACAAGCTCTGCATGCTCTCCACACAAGACCTTGTAAGGTAGAAGTTTCTTATCCTTTCTCTGGGTTGTGTAAATATGGGCTCCTTGACCAAACTGTGTCTGCTGCACACACACACTGACACATACACTCTCTTTTTCTCTGACCCCAGTGTTGTGGGGGTTACACACACACAATGGTCTCACTCAGGGCGGGCCAACCAGCCAGCTTACCAGCTATCCAGCTAATTCCAGTCGCTACAGTCAGTCTCGAGCGTGCATGCCGCATTAACCGCATGGAGTGGGGGGGGGTCGATATTTGTTATCCCAAAACTTGGACCTGTGCCCACAGAATTGGAGTGGGGGGGGGGGGGTTTCATCTCTCTATGCTGTTTTGTTTTGTCTCAACAATCTTGCACAACAACTTTTGTGGAACAGTTGTCATGGATTGGGTGAAGAGGTGGGCGGGGGAAATCAGTGGGTGTGGCTTCACATTATACAAAGAAATATACTTAATGGTATTCAAAAAACAACCTTAGTGGGTTCATCATGGGGCTTACAAGGAAACTGAAAGTCATTAAATGTTGTTCAAGACAAGAAAGTTAAAAGTTGTTTTCAACCGCCACTGGGAGCAAACCTTAACATTACTTAAAGCCCTCCACCCAAAAATATGTATGTGCAGAGTTTGGTCCAATATGCAACTTATACAAGTGTGATGTAGAAACATGAAGCCACCAGTGCAGATACACTAAGAATGGACTTTATAGTGAAGCAGGACCATCTTATGTCCAGCAGGAAAACTTAAGATATGAGCTGAATTTGCATATTCATAAACTAGAATATTAATGAGGTAGAAGGTGTAGATGCTTTTTGAGGAATTGATGTGGTGGTATATATGTCACATGTCTGAAGGGGATCTTTAAAACTGCTCTAATCAATACTCTTATTTTACCAATGGATCAAATGACTAGCCGATTCTCTTGTATGATCCTCACCCGATCAGTTCCCCTCATCTCTACGGAGCCTTTTAGCATCTTTTAGTTCATTGTTTTGGTTTTTAAAGCCCACAGTTGTACTGTTTTGGTTCACTCTCGCCACTCTCAAGTTAGTAACTAACTGATATTGCCTTCAGGAGTTGGCCGAGAACAAAACAAAGCCAAAAGGTTGTACTAACTTTTCTCAGAGGGGGCCTGAAACACAAACTTCAAATGAATGATAGTGTTGCTCCCTGTCAGCTGGACGTGTAAACCAGCAACTGTTTGCTAACAAGTTTATCATATCGCCTTAAAAGGTGATGATATGTCAATGTTGTGTTGTTCCACAAACCTTAAATGGGAATAAATCTGTTCCCATGACAAATGTGGGCCTGATTGACCGGTTTCATGCTTAACAATGGCTGCAATCTGAACAACTTCCCTGTATCGCGTCACAATTCATGCACAGTCATATAAAGTAGTGTGTACTCCCTAATTTACCAATTATTCTGGAATTCAAACACTGTTGCACAAACACAATGTTTTTAGAGGTCTGCGCTCTACTGAGTGCAATCTACTTTATATTCATCTGGAAAGAAGGCAATCCTCTCAACCTATGATCAGCATAAAAGGTCAGATTGAAAAGCAGTCAATTAGCCTGACATGACTGGATTAAGTCTCCATATCAGTGATGAATCACAACTAGACACCAAAATCTGTGTCTGCTTTAGTTTTATTTATTTCAGCAGACTAATCTGCTCCAGTTGTGCCTCCCATTGGTTCAAAAATCTTCTAAGAGGGGCTCAGACACATCCTGATCTACAAAAATAGGTTAGGGCAACTAAATCATGGCCAAAAATAGAACAAAAACATGCAGCAACTGCCCTGCTCCGACACTACCACAAGAGACCTGCGTTATAAGTAATTATGAATAAAAGTACAGACAATGCATTTACAGCACAGCACTCTTCTTCATTGAGCTAAAATCTTTTTAACTTGCAGCACTTGGCAGATCTCGGTATTGTCCTTTGGAAATAACAGAAAATTGGAAGCGAATGTTTCAAAGCCTGGTTCCCTGTGGCGGCTCATCCTGGGTGAGCCAGCCAGGAGTCATGGTGGCCACAGAACGACCTGCCACTCATGTTGCCTTGGTTATGTAAGCTAGAAGATCACACTACGCCACTGAGGGGGGATTTGGAGAGAAAAGGAAGCAAGAGAGAGTAAAGAGGGGTAGCATGGGAAGTGACTTTGAATTATAAACAAGGTTACGGCTGTTTCAGCCTTTTATCTCCCTCCCTTTGCCTCCCTTTCTCCCCCCATGTTCTTCCCCTTCTTCCTCCCTCCTCCACTCTTCACACCCTCTCAGTCTCTCCTAAGGGCTCCAGTGTACTCCAGACGAAATTGGACTTGGCGAAATCTCAAAGGCCGTCGCTGGGTGCAAATGACAGTATACACTCAATGTGTTTATGTGTGTGTGT